TGCTTATGTCATAGTGGATGTACTTATAAAGATAAATATTATTTACTAGGAGAAAGTTACGCAAAAATGCATTTCAAAAAGTAAAACTTCCAACCAATTTAGATTTAATGAACGTGCTCAAAAAAACAAACAGTACCAAATGAACACATACATTTCCAACTGTGCTACACTTTTTTTTAGCAAAATATATGTATATTTGTTTTGAATCTTGAACAAAACTTTTAGACTGCATATGCAACAACGCTGCACAATTATGCAACACAAAAATGCAATTGAAAGAAGAAACAAGGAAGAATAAATGGAAGAATATTGATTCAGATATATCTGAATCAATATTCTTCCATTTATTTCAATTTTGAGTCTTTGTGTTTTGCTTTCTTAAAATGTATCAAAAGCTATGTGTATACAGCCAATGTCACAAATATCCTACTAGTCAGATCAATTAATTAGAATTTAGAAAATATAAAAGTTAGAGTCTGTAACACTTTTCTCCCCCCAAAACRTTGTTTTTTTTCTTTTCCCATATTTATTCAGAGCTGGTAAATACTAAACTCAAACTCCATATTTTTCTCTCCTAACAGTCGGTGTTACAGGATGTAAAACTCGTGTCAGTTAMAACCAGTTGTGCTGCTTCACTGCGGTCATAAATTCATGGCTACTTTGTGGACTCAGGGAGTCTCCTCCCGCCAGGGGTGATGGTTGCTGTAAATTCAGGCCACATAAAGTGGTCCCACCCCCACACCAGAAAAGAGCAGAAACCAACAACTCCCCAGCTCTTTCTTGGCGCAAATATWTAAACTTGCACATTGTTATGGAAATAAATTATAACATGGAAACATTTTCCAGTGAGCTAGAGGGACGGAAAGGTGTACCAACTGAAGAAACTGCATTTTAACGCAGCGTGRAGGCAGAGCGCAAAGTGAAATCTGCTGAAGAAGCTAAAACTGAGCTGTTAAAATGAGCAGAACGTCAGACAAAAGCAACAAAAAAAAGCAGCTACAAGCAGCAAAACAGTAGCTAACATTTGCAAACAAAATGTGTTAGAATGAGTAAAACAACTGAATTCAGGTAAAAACGCTAAACTGAGAAAACCAGATGCTAATATTAGCAAAACATGCAAAATAGAAGTCAAAGATCTTGAATGTGCAAATAAACGTTATCTAATAAGCAAAACAGATATGAGCAAARMATGAAAAAGCAGCCAAACATTAGTCAAAACGAGCAAATGAAAAAGCTAAAATAAGCAAAACATATCGTATAATATTTATTTTTATAACATTAGAAAAACGTGCAGAAAGCAGACTACTTGGAAAACAAAAGTTAAAGCTAAAATGAGCAAAGCAGTACCTAATAAAATCTAAGAAAACCTAAAATTAATCAAACACTAAAATGAGCAG